CAACATAGTCGAACAGAATTTGCCCATCGTACAATCGTATTAAAATAAATACACGTTCAATTTGAATGATCAACTAAGCTACAACATCGTTCAGAATTCGCTTTCACATAGTTGTGCAGTAAAAAAAAGACGTTTGCAGTGAGAGAAAACAAACGGATCGAGTTCATTTCTTTATCTTTAAGAATAATAATCCGAACGCGTTTGTGACACTTTTACATTTGGTGGATTAAATCGTTCTCTCATCAGATCTTTGTCAGTTATTTTTGCTACACTCATTGCATGTTGAATCGTCCGTTCTAAATCTCGTGTAGCTTTCGTTTTTGGTTGTTGTTCAAGTTGTAATGGACGTCGATCGACTCGATTGTGTATTGTATTCAGCTCTCTCGCATAATCGTCTTCTACATCTTGAATGGATTGTCGAACTTTGCGAGTCTAAGAAGAATTTGATGGGAAAAAATGAGAGAATAATTTCATTAAACGTTCACTTACACTCTCTTCTTTTCTCGCTTTGTATATCGCTGATTTATCGTTCAATTTCGCTCGTTCATGAATGCCCTCTTTCAATCGTTTTTCTCTCGCTGATCTTGCTCGTTGAAATCTTTCTTCGAATTTACTTCGAACTTCATGCTCTCGTCGTTTTTTCTTTCCCATCGATTCACGTAACTGTTGTACATCAGTTTTCTTTATTGGTATTGCTTCCGGTTGTTGAAGACTAGCTGATAAATTCATTCCCGATGTTGATCGAGTGGGAAGTTGTTTGCCCTTGATTTGAAACGATTGTAAATATCGCATTTCTTCTTCAGCGCGAATATCACTCAGTACACGCTCTTGTCTTGACGGAATCATACTTGTATATAATAAAAATGGTTTACATTCTGTTGGTGGTCGCGAACGCTTCGCTTCTTCAGTTTCGCGTAGAAATCTCGAATGTAGTTTATCATAATTTGGTATATAATATCCATTTGTTTTGGGTTTGAACGTGCATTCTTCAAGACCGACACGAGCTAGATCAGTAGCACTTCGACAGCGACGTGTTTGTTTCGTATGATGTTCGCGTCGTTGCATACTAGACGGAAGACGTGATTGACGAAGTAATTCTTTCGCTCGAACTTGTTTCTTTATTGAACGATAGAGAGAATTTTCCTTCATTCTAAACAGAAATCAAGGTATACATTTACTGACACGGAAAGACAACATGCCGTACTGTTCGATATCTTTGCTGGTTCGATAGTAAAAGTCAGGTATTGGCTTAGCTCTGAATTGTGGTTGACGTCGTGCAGTGTCCCCATCGGAAAATGAATGTCGTCGGTAGGCTGTTCTTGCTCGGTCACGTGATTCAAATCCAAATGGTTTTGAAATTGAATTTAAATATTCTTTTGTCATATGCCGGACTTGTTCACGCCGCATACGTTGTTCTTCTTGTAATTGTTCATATAAAGGCATGCGAACATGAGCCGGAACAGGAGTGGCTAAATAAAGCGATTTCTAAGTGAATTATCAACGAATTTCACGGGTACCTTTGAATGAACGATTTATCATAAGTTCGTCGTCGACTTCCTTTTGTATTTTTGCCGCTTCTATTTCATGCATGCATTTTCTTCGATGAACATTATCCACGGATACGCTATTTGTTAAATCGAATGGTTGTGGTACAGTGACACGACCTGCCCAATTGTCATTTAAAGGTAAACTCGGCCGACGACGAGCTCTTTAAGAAAAGAAAGGATTGAGATCTACGATCAGACAATTTAGTTGATCTTACTTCTTCTCTTCAAGATAATCTTCCAATTCAAATTCGTTCCAGAGATGATGTATGTGTCTTTGTACGTCATTTGTTGCCACATCTCGGTCACTTGTCATTGTATCGTCGACCGATGTTCTATGCGGACTCAAACCTAAATTCTCGTCAATACTATGTCGTCGAGTTACATTCGTCGATATGGGCCGATGATAAATGTGATGCGCTTGTTCTTGTGCTATCAATACAGGTGAAGGTGAACGTCGAGATGCGGTAGGCAAGGGTGGCTTGGATGTCACAATCGGTTCATATTTTTGTTCGACTTCATGAGAATAGAATGGAACATCGAAGGGTCGTGTGTCTTTTAAATTGTAGTAATCATGTTCAATTTGAACTAATTTCGCGCGTTGTTCACGACGAAGTTCTTCGAGTGAATCAAGAAATGCTGTATTGTCATTTGGAATTCCAGTATCGACTTTAGCAAGTAGTTTTTCTTTATACTCAGCGAAATCAGATGATGTGTTATATGCTGAACGTATTAACGGATTGATTTTTTCAAGACTTGTACGCGAATTGTAATAGTCATTTAATGAAGTAGTTGCCATTCGTTTTGATATTTTACTGAGTGAAAATAGAACATAAACGATGAGAAAAGAAATATCGAAGGTTGATAGTTACAAAACAGACATTATTCAATAGGTTGTTGGGCTTCTCGTTGGTTTCAACCTCCAGAATTTCAATGAACACAGCGAATATCTCGTGCTGCATAGCGACATCTTCCTCACAATTTTCTTTCATCCGCGATCATTTTATACCAAATATTTATTTATGGCATTATGAAACACTAGAATTAATTATTCGTGATTTACTCTCTGCAGAGAATCATGATATCTGAACAGCTGCAGATGATTGAAATGTTTGTTTAGAAACAATTCTGTTGTACTTCGAACGCGATCATCAAGTACAAATCTGCTTATAATTGCGACTGATCCGGTCGTTCTAATGTTGTCAAATTTGACTGGATTTAAATCGATTTAGCAAGGAGAAAATGAATCGGTTCGGTGGACGATAGACAGAAGTAAAAATGTACAATCGTTGACTCGATCGAATCATGTATCAAATGATTGAATAGTAGATAGAATGACGTTCGTGAACAAAATTAGTATGTTTTGGTGTAAATACAAATAGTAAAGAAACAGTGCCCCCCTATATTATCTGATACTAAACAAATAGAAAGAAAAAAATCACGCAGAAAGTAATGGATGTGTTCTCATACGAGTAATTTCATTTAAATAAATAGATCATATATAGTTTCAATAGGAAAAAATTGACTTTACGTCGACCAATGACAATTTCAAATCTAGTGAATATCTTTCTCTCTCTCTCTCAATGTACTCAAGTATACAATTTAGTCATGCCGCGCGCTTGCATCATGATCCACTTGATGATCTGTTGTTCAGTGGATTACATCAAATAATTGATTTCGAAAGAAAACACGATGTCAAGTATATCGCAGAAAAAAAAGGCAAACCGCGGTGTCTCTTTGACCTCTCTTTCTAATTCTATTTGTGTAGGTGTGATTTCGAGTGACATGTATACAAAAAATTAAAGATCAATATATCCATTCGTGTTCGTTGTATTGTTGTCGTTTTGATTCTTTGTGACTTATCAAAGTTAATGCCTGAAGAGAGTTTGACCAATCTCAAATTACTTTTTTCTCTCGTTGTCGCCGACGATGATAATTTCGACTACTCTTTATTCGGCATGACACGGCTTAAAATTCCACTTGTTCAACATATCGTATTGATCTATCATATCAAGACGGGATGTGTGTAGAAGAGATGTGAAAGAGAAAACGAAAGAAAGGAGATGTCGTCATTAAGAAGGCAACTAGAGAAGAAGTATTTGTTGTTCTATCTGACGAAATCAAACGAATTAAGCGCAAAGAAACAAACCATCTGCTACACAAGGGCCAATTAGATACACCTTTCTTTTGTTACATTATTTACATTTCACTGATCCATTGATCAAAACTCTTTTCTTTTTGTTCTATCTTCTCGTACTTTGTTCTTAGTTTTCACATCTCTTGCACTGTTGGATTTCGTTTCGATATTCTCATTTGTGACAGACGCGTGTAGAGATGCACTTTCATACATTAGACTAAAACAACAAATAATGATCTTCGTCAAACATAACAATCAATCTGATTAGCTTACAAGAACATTTTTCTTCTTCGGCTTATGTATACCATTATTTTCTAAATACCAACCACTGTGCACGATAGAAAATATCAACCATTTGTTGGTCTTGTATATTATTTTCTTGTGTCCATTAATGGTTAGATGTTCTCTTACATTAGTAATGATTTCCGGTATGTGTACGCCTCCGCGTATCTATCGATTTGACTACAACAAGCATCTTCCGACATGTTGTTAATTTGACAAGTACAATAATCTCTTGCTTGATGTTCTCGAGTCGTTTGTCTTATTCGAGAAGAAAGAGAAATTCATTTTTGGCTTCTTTTTTTTCTTTGTGTAGAAAAAAAGATCAAGTATATCTTATCTTGATCCACTTGTTGAAAAAAGCAAAGCACAAATCCGAAATTATTTCCGTTTGACTGCCGGGCAGATTTATTGAATCAAGTCATATTTATTTCATCTCATATCACATATTTTTTGTCAGTTTTTCGTATCAATCATTTTTCTCGTCGAGGTGATCAAATGAAAAAAATCAGCGCAAAAAAAGAATCAGAGATGAAACGTTGTTGTAAAGTATACGAAAATTGATACGTTGCCTACACTGCAAAAGAAACGAGAACAGCAGTATTAGCATGTTCTTATATTAAAGAGAGAGAGTGTGTGTGTGTAGTCTGTATTCTCTTATTTCTGCGTAAGTTTACTGATGGTATTTCATCAATCTGTGCGTAATCGATCTTTTTATCGATGAGTATTGTTGTTGTTATACACACACGTAGTTGTTGGGGAGACCGTCATTGTATTTTTTTTATTGACAAGTAATGCTGATATGAAGAAGAGAATACAGAAAAAGAAAAAGAGAAACGACCGTTTGGCACCAATCAATGATCTGTCCGATTGCTCGAGAGAGATATTTTGATTCGTCGATCGGATGACTTTTTTCTCTTTCGTCTTCTCTCATTTTTCTCTCATCGATTGTGTCTACAATTTGATAGATTAATCACAATTTTTCATCAGTTATATAGAGCGCATACACGACACACACATATAGACATATCGATTGAAGTATGAGTACAAGTCCCTCATCGCGTCACAATACAAAAAAACTCAATAAGGCTGCGACGATGAATTCGGCGAGCAAACATCAGCAACAATCCTCATCTTCATCATCATCGTCAACGAATTCGAACGCTTTCCCACGTTATTTACCTCATGCTCTGCTTTTACGTGCTACTGAACGTTATCAACGCACACCTAAGTGTGCACGATGCCGAAATCATGGTGTTGTTTCGGCGTTGAAAGGTCATAAACGTTACTGTAATTGGAAAGATTGCATTTGTGCTAAATGTACACTTATTGCTGAACGACAACGTGTCATGGCTGCACAAGTAAGTGGAGAAAAAGCAAACGATTTGTCTTTCTTTTCGAATTACAAATCATTTATTTTCATTGTTTATCAGGTTGCCCTACGCCGACAACAAGCACAAGAAGAAAATGATGCACGAGAACTGAGTGCGATCTATGGAACGCCACCGGAAGCCATTTTAGCTCTACGTCGATCACTCAATGCTACGGCTGATGGTTTAGCAACAACGTCATCGACTGTCTTAGAAGACGATGAAGGCAATACGAGCAACGACGAAGAGAACTCGAATGATGGTAAATACACCTCTAATGATCTAATGAGAAAGAGAAAGAGAAATTGAAAATTATTTTGTAGTTGTTTCAATTGAAAAAAATTCAACATACAATGGTACCAATGGAAAAGAGGGTAACGAGAATGACAATGACAATGACGATGAAGACACGAATAGCAAAAGTCCTCATCCATCATCACCAACAGACAATCATTCAATAAAACGCGCATCAAATTCACCGGCTGCCGTACGATCATCCGATGAAATAGCTTCACGGCGGACCTCGTCGCCTATTTCACCATCATCATCACCGCGAACAAAAGAAGCAGTAACAAATCAACATGCCCACCACCAACAACAACAACAACTTTTCCCTCTCCCATCCAATGAGCACGATATGTCTGAAGCTGTTAAACGTGTTATCGCCAGTGTCTATTCCGAAGCCACTAAATCAGCATTCAGTCCAATCATGGCATCAACCTATTTGAATCATCATCACCATCAACAAAACCGTCTTTTTACTTCCCCTTATCCACCACCTCATCCCCTTTATTTTCACCATCCACCACCGCCCATCCCATCACCAGCTTCAATGAGTATTCTCTCACGGGCAACATCACTTGCCGCTGCACCAAGACATCCATCACATCATCGATGCATATTACCATTCTGTACATGTAAACTTGTTGCTCCGTCATCATCATCATCATCAACAACAACCAATTAATAAACGATGATTTTTCTATTGGAAACAAACTACTTCTTCTTTTTCTTCTCTCTCTCTCTCTCTCTCTCTCTTTCTTTTTCTCTTCGTTGCATATTGTGTGTGCGTGTGTGTTTTCACTTATATAAATATAAATACCATTAAGATAAATAAAACTATAGGACTCTCTTCGTCCATTCTTCAATGTATTCTATTGTGTTTTCTTTGTTTATCAGATAATTTGTATCCATATTGGATCCTTCAAAATCTCGAAATATCTTTTAGCACATATTCATCCAATTAATAGCAAATGAAGAAGGAGAAAGGAAGAAAGATTTAAAATCTCGTGACTATGTCTTATATTTCTTTTATAATGACATTTCCTCAATCTTTTGCCTTTTTGTTTTTAACTTTTCAGAACAAAAGATTGCAGAAACATGTAACATGACGTAAAGATTATAAAAAAAAGAAGAAGAAAACATTGGCGTGATTCTATCTGTCAAATGAATATCATGCATTAGCCACTGGCATTCCTTCAGCCTAGATTACAAAGTGTAAAGAGATTGTTGAATCAATAGGAATAGATGGACATACTTTTTTAAAATCTTTCATATTTGTTGTTGCGATTGGTGTTCCATAGAAAGTAATAGATTTCATTATTGTTTGATCAGAGCCTGATTGATTATTTGCGAAGAAGAGCTAAAGTAATCAAATGTGTGTTTAAGATGAGAAGAACGAAGAGAATTACTGAGAGTGATTGGACGTTCTGGAATTTCACGAATCGTAATTCAACTGGTGAACCGTCGACAAGGTGTTTTTTCTCGAATCTAAACGAATTCAAATAGATTTTAACAAAACAAAATCATACTAATCGGATTAGCCTTACTCAAGTGTTTGCACAGCTTCGTTACTTTTTGCATCATTGAAATCGATCGCCTGTCGATTTACAAATAATTTCACTGTCTTAGGGCCATTTTCTACGAAAGAAACACAAATTAAAGTCGATTGACTTTGCATATGTCCAACCTTCGGGTGCTTCAATTGCGATTGAATGAATTTTTACAACTTGATTAAATGCAACATGAAGAATTAACTAGAATAGTCAATAGAAGTCTTTCCAAAACGGATTTCTATTGTATTCGGTTACTTCTGGATCATCTTCATCTGATCTAAACATGCCTGGTTGATTTCCAAGTACAGCATTTTGCCATTTATCGATTTCATTCAGAGCCGTACAGCTCTTTTCTTCAACAAATGGTTTCAGATCAGTCTGCAAATGACAACAAAGATCTTTTTTAAAACTCATAAATGTCAATCGATTCGATCACTTACGTATCCAGCATCTTTCGTTGGTGTATCTTTATAGAATTTTTTAATCGTTTGCTCAATCGGATCTTTGCTTGCGCCTTGTAATCGAGCCACTTCTTTTCCATGTTGAAAAAACACAAACGTCGGCATAGCTTTAATGGAATATTTCGCCGCTTCACTCTATGAAATCGATGCAAATCTCATTGTAAAAACAAAGGCTTTCTCTTACAGTGCATTTCTCTACATCAGCTTTGAGAAAGACAGCATTTGGATATTGACTACTTAAATGTTCGATATGTGGAGCGATATTTTTACATGGACCGCACCTAAACATATGCACATGACTTTGTAAAATCAACTGACAATTCGAACGAACCATGTGGCGAAGAAATCCACCATAACAAGTTTATCACCTGCTACTGATAATTCAACATTGAGACAATCGTTGCCAATTTCTCGTACAGGCATTAGAGCTATGTCAGTTCAAATATATTCTAAAATAAAAACAAAGAATATTTGGGTAAAGTTTCTTTTCTTGTTTTTTTTTATTGCCGACCAAGAGAAAGTGAACGATATATGCATAATATATATATATGTAAAGGGAAAAAAGATTCTAAAACGAGCAAGAATAAAGATGAAAGATATATTAAACATCACCAACAGATTTCAAAGAAGACACAATGAAAACACTCTTTATGTATGGATCGGATCTTTTTCTCGGGATTGAAAATAGAGAAGAAATTCGAAAGAGAAAACAAACAAGACGAGAGGTAAACGAAAATGGAATTAATGGTTTGATAAGTGTCTTGACGTGAGGAATAGTCATGTTTTCTGTTCATTTTTGACTTCGACTAAACAAGTCGGTATGGTTGTTGTTGATGTTGTTAGTTTGGTTTATTGTGCGAAAAAGAAAGAACAACATCGAGAAGAACAAATTTTAAAAAAAAGAAGAGGAAAAAACGTTTGAAGAATCGCAAAAAATGTAGAATATAGATTAGTTATGTGTGCATAAATATCAGCCGGCGTTATTTCTGTGATTGTGTTTTCTATAAAAAAAATTTTCTCCGTTCGCCTTGTTCTCCTATCCCTTCTAACAACAACCGCCTGATGATTGGACTGGTTTGCCTTGCGTAGTCACATTAACACTTGTTGAAGGTTTACCCGCTGATGTTGAATGAGACGATGACATACGAGACTTGATCTCCGTTGCCATGGTCATAAATGCCTGTTCGACATTCGTCGAATTCTTAGCCGACGTTTCCAAGAATGGAATACTCAACGAATCGGCATATTCCTACGAAATATTGAACGAATGTCAAGAAGGATTGCGAAGTGTGTTCGCTTTCACATACTTTTGCTTTACTATATTCAACAGCTTTTTTTGCAGTAAGATCACATTTGTTTCCGACTAATAGCTTGTTCACGGTTTCGCTGGCATATCGGTCGATTTCTTGAAGCCATTGTTTGACATTGTTGAACGATTCCTTAATGAAAGTTGAAATAGACTCGTATTTAAGATTAGGAATTTACCATACTTGATCGGTTACGTCGTAAACTACGATAATTCCATGTGCACCTCGGTAATAGCTACTTGTAATCGTACGGAATCGTTCTTGACCAGCGGTGTCCCACTAGAAAGATCATTTTCGAATAGGTTCATGTCGATCAGGGTGTTTTTTAACTTACAATTTGCAATTTGATTGTTTTTCCATCGAGATCAATTGTTCGAATTTTCTGAAAACAATAAACAAATGATCTTTCCAGATTAAAAGAGATTTCCAGCATACAAAATCAACACCAATTGTACTAATGTAACTTTCCGTGTAGGTATCATCCTAAATATCAGAAAACTTATTCGTATCGAATATCAGTCGAATCAATTTACCGCGAAACGTAGTAAAAGACATGATTTGCCTACTCCCGAGTCACCAATAAGTAACAATTTAAAAAGATAATCACTAGAAGAAGAAGAAAATTACAATTTCGATGGGACAAAGCAAACAATTGAATGACTCACTATTCCGGATTCATCTTGTTTGAAGCAAATTCGTATCTGGAATTGAAAGTGAATTCGGTAGGACGAGAGATCTATCTCGGATCCACAAGAAAAGATATGGATCAAAGTACAAAAATTAACTGAAAGAAATGCAAAGCAGGTAAGAAAAGAAAAATGGGGATGATGATAATAATAATGTTGATGACTCGTGTCTACTTTTGTGTTATAGGCAACCTTTTCGAGATAAACTCGGCCGCTACGCGGAGTTCCTTTTTGCCTTTTCTTACCAATAAAATAATATTTAAACAGACAAGAATGAAAGATAGAAACGAAAATAAGTTTAACATTCAAAAATGTTAAATATTGGATCACGAAATACAAGAATAGGGACAATAGTAAATGCATTTGTATTTTAAATAAATGAAAGAACGAAAGATTCTCATTGGCTAAAATGTTAACCAATAGGAAAAGCAGTGATTCATATTTACAGACAAACATCTGGTATATGAAAATAGTAACGGATCTTTCGATCGGTTATTGTTCGAACAGCTGTGACAAGAATAATCCATGATTACGGCAATGGTAATACGTGAATATCTTCAGAAAAAAAGAAACAAAACCGGACGCAGAAGAATGTTCACATAAATAACATTCTTTCGGTGCGATTAAGAAATAGTTGTGATCGTTGTTTGAAATTATTCCGAACGTCACGCATTTTATTTGAGGATAAGATCACAACAAGAGACAAAATACTCGAGTACAATATTGATAAATGAAAACGAGCAACAACAGAGATTCAGCATAGAACAGATCGAATGAAGTCAACGTATGTAAAAAAAAACAAAGACGAACTATGCAAGAGAATAGAAAAAGAAGAGAATATCACTGTGAAAAAGAATTGTTTATAAATAAGAAAACAAAAGTGAGGAATGTCGAAAATTGTTAAGCGTCGTCCTTCGTTTGACTTGTCAATAAGAAACTGTCACCATTAAAAAAGTCTGATTGATTATCGTTGGGATTCTAAAGACAAGAAGAACTCGTAGATTTGTTCGGATTAACTTCTTTTCGTTTACCTTTCGAATAGCATTTCGAACGACATTCATCAGTTTTTTCGCTTTCGATGGTTTCGTGAAATGAACTTCAGTACCCGAATCTTCTTCATCACTAATCTGAGCGCAAACATTGTCTACTGGAGTATCATCATCTGGATTTGTATTTTCCACTAATTGCATGTAACGATATTCAAGCCTAAGAAACATAGGAAAGACATGCAGTGGCAAGTAGAGTTTCGAAAAAGAAATTACTTTCGATTTTTTCTCCAAAACTTGATCAAAACTAGGATTAAGATCGCTGCGACGAGAAGAAACACAGCAAATACAATTTGAACTTCAGTAGATAAGACAGAGCATCGGCGAGTGTCAACTTTTTCTGCTAAACTATTTGCGCAGTATCTAAAGAACAGAGGAAATCAAGTCACTAAAAGAAAGTAGTCTAGATCACATACGGATAAGGAATTTTTCGCACTTCTTGTCGTCCAAATCGGCAAGGACCGATGAATGTTCGATAGCCATTTGAATTACTATCACATATTGGACAAGCTAATGGTGTACGTAAAAGAAAATGAAATGTGCATCCATCACAAGTGCCCGCTGCGCAATTGCTTGGTGTCTGTAATTGGTATGTGGCGTTGGACTTTTGCTGTTCGTCATTGAGAATATGATCACAACGTAAGGATAAAAAGGTTGTACGCTGTAAACATGTCGATTCTGTATATGATGCATTTGCTCGATAAACGAGTGTAATGTCAGTTAAATTATAATCCGAACGAAGAGGCGGAAAGTATTTTGATACGGATAGAGAAACACTGACTAATTCTTCACCGAATCTAGACCGAAAGCATCATTTGGAGAGACGCTGAAAGCAAAAATATGCTGACTTACTCATCGATATAGGCAACAGATGTAATATTATCATTTTGATCAGGTACAGATCCGAGTCGGCATAACTTAGAATCGATAATTTTTTGACTTTTTCGATTTTTTATGTCAGCCGATGCCTAGACAGACGTTACCAAATATAATTTGTGCTCTGTAAACATTTTATTACTTACCAACGACGTCACACAAGTCACACTTGCTTTGCCACAAATGCTCGCATTAAATACATGAAAATAACCGCTACCTTTCTGTGTAAACAATTTCGAGCCATGAAATTGAATTCTACAAAACTAATCTTTGAAGTATTCATTGAATTCTTCGAGTTCTTACGTTGATATTGCATTTAAATCATATGGAATATCTCCACTAAACATTTGCTTACATGGCACATAACAAGAAATACCATCATCGGAGATGGTATTAGTTGGACATGGCGTACAAATTGTCGGAACAGGATCACGCGATCGTTTACGAGATGCAATCGTTGAATTGGGACAAGCCGTACAAGTATTATTACTTGTGAGAATATACCCTGATGTGCATTGTTTGCATCTGTTGAAGAAGAACGAAGATTTCGTGGATTAGAAAATTGCTAGATTTTTACTCAGTTTCTTCATCGTTTGTAGTTAAACACGCAACACATCGATCAGAACCTCCGAAATTTGTATTGGTAACAAGAATTTCGTAAATACGAACTTCATCACCACCTTGATCTTCACTATCGGAGGTGAACATCCAGTTGAACACGACTTCATTTCGATTCAAAATTGTGTATCTAATTAACAGAAATATTTATCATGCAAAGACAATTGTCAAGTCACACGCCATACCTAAAATCTTCTATGTCTTTATGTTCCGAGTTTTTGGTAATATGCCATTTGTGAATAACTTGCCAATTGCTATCATCATCATCGTACATATCCTAATCGACAGAAAGATTCGTATTCCAATGAAAAATATTCGCAAGAAATATTACTTCAGCAACTAAAAACAGTGTGCAACTTGAATTACATCGCGTTGAGAATTTAAAATATAATGTTCCAAATTCTTTTGTTGCTCTGGCGATATCTGTTGCACGAAAGCCCTTGGTAATACTTAACGTTAATACAGATAATGTATCGGGTATTGATTGAGACGAAATATATTCAATACTTGGTATCTAGACAAAACGAAAATATAGTTCAGATGTAACAGAAACAATGAACACATACCCAACTTTGATTTGGACGAAGTTTACTGACTAAAATAAAGAAAGAATGGAATTCGATGGAGATGAGAAAGACGATTTTCGACATACCACTGTCCATATCATCGAATGAAAGGTAACTTCGATTTAAATAATCAGGTAAATCGTTCCAAATTTTATAATACAAACCCGGTACAAGTGAGAGATCATTAGCACATGGCAGACAAGCGCTCAATGTACCATTCGAATACGTTTTCGGTGGACAAAATTCACATTTACCACTGCTGATATTTTTAAACATTCCACTAAAAAATTTTCTTCCAGTCAAAAAGGAACTTTTGTTTGAAAATATACGTACGGATTACATGTTCCACATGGTAATTGTTTATCAGCTGGCAGTGTAACGTCACCGATACAGATCTTCGGTTCAATAGGTCGATATGTAATTGTTGCCTAATGTAAATATAAATATTATACAGTTGAGGGGGCAGACGGTGAAACAAACCATCTTGGATGTAACACAGCCTGTAAATACTTTTTGATAATGTTTTTCTTCACATTTTGGTCGTTCAATACATTTGGACGATCCTTCATCTGAAATACGCATACTGATACGAAATATTATTCAAAAATTAGTCATATTTATACCCGAATATTGTGTTTCGCCGCAAGGTATGCATTCGGTGGAGCGGCTGTTTGCAGCATAAGTATTTTTCGGGCAAGGTGCACAATTACTCGCACCTTTCGTATCGGCAAAGGTACCTACAAAACAGAGAATCATGTCAACTGATCTTTCCTAAAGTGACTTCTTCTGTAAAAGCTTTTTTACCTGGTGGACATTCAATACAATCTTGAAGAAAAGCATTTCCTACAAAGAGAAAAGATCATTTACCTAAAATTCATCATTTTTTTTCTTTCGATTGCTTACCTTCAACAACAATAGATCGAATATAAAACGGAAAATGAAGAGCATTCGCGCCAAAACTAAGCAAGGAAAGGACGTATTCTCCCGGTTCATTGATTACAATCTAAATAAATACTTTAGTACCGAAGGAACAATCTCCGTCAACTCGTATCCTACTCGTTTTTCTTTCCATATACCATAACCTGTAGGATTGAACGTGACCTCTGCTTTCTTCTTCGGATTGCCATTGTAATCATCATCATCGTTGTTATCAGCATCATCGGTTTTATCTTTGTCATCAATACTAAAATCACATCGGGATGAAATCTAAAGGAAATTTTTCAAACGGAGAATTTTTCCTATCGATTTTGTCAAAATTTCACTTACCGATCCAAAAACAAAAGATGTAGGTAGATTATATGTGACACTAATCGATCCAGAACGTTGAAGTTTGAATTGAAGCGAAAGTATTAATACACAATTATGTTGCACTTCACCTTGTAAGAGATTTCCTTTAATACGCCAATTACTTGGAAAAAAAAGAGAAATTCATCGATTGGAAAAACAATGCTGGACAGTAAACAATTTACCTTTTCTTCTTACAATCGCCATCATATGATTCTACTAATGAAGTTGTTTTCAACGTAAGTTCCGGCATGGTGACTTTCAGATCATCCAATTCATTGAAAGTGTATTGATTACCACCACCAAGAGAAAATGTTCCTTTCGAACAACTTTTGCAATCCAAATTAGCCTTATTAAATGTTTGTCCTTTCGGACAAGTGAAATCTAAAGGATTTCCATTAATACGAGATTGTTTTCTAAATCTTGCTTACCGCAACTGACACGAGTAGGCTGAGCAGTTGTCTGTTCCTTGCATGAGTCTTTACTTCGTGGTACTTCAATTAGCCATTGATACTCTCCATGATTATAACATTTCGATACGATGATCTTCGTGTCCACCTAGAACAGACACAAATGACTTTCTCAATGAAAGCATCTCTCAGCGTAGCAAACAATCAATTGAATAATAAATCAAAAAGAAAAAAAAACACCAGAACCCAAATTCTATATACTAGAAGCAAAAAAGGTTAGGCCAACTTTATCCTCACTTTCGCTGACCAGATCTTTCCTGTATAGAGATAAATAGTTGGAATTAGAAGTTATAATTGGTTATCGAAGCGGATATTAGTACGAATTCAGTTCCGAATTACGACTCGACTTACGCATTCCGTTTCACTCGACACGCCATGAAGAGATAAAAGTGAGATAAGAAGAATTGCACTTGAAATCGACATTATCTGAAAAGTAGAAGTTAAACATCATCTTAGAACTTTCACTGCTATCAAAATCGAATGCAAAAAATCAACCAAAGTTTATTCAGATTTAACAAAAATAACAAGAATGAAAAATTTAACAATCAGACAAAAACTAAGATGCTTTTTTCTATGATTGCAGGAATAGATTTGATTAACCACCAATTAAAATCATCGGTCGATTCGCCTGTGTGTGTAAGACATCCACCGGTAAATGTTCTTTATCTTTTTTGTATAAAGTTTGCTGAATCAACGCGTAAATCTCTTCGTCACTGGCACCGGATCGAAGGACGTCACGTAAAGATACTTCTTTATTATCGAATAAACATACCTAAAGCACAAAGATAAATGTTGAAAGCGAAGACATTCTTGTTACCTTTAGTTGTCCATCTGCGGTTACTCGAATTCGATTGCAAGTTGAACAGAAGTGTTCGCTCATTGAAGTGATAAAGCCGATTCTTCCTTTATACGAGTCGTCTTGCACGCGGTACCATTTTGTTGTATCATTTTTGTCAATCTGAGCAAGTTTTTGCAAATTATATCTTTGTTTGATGATTTTCAACATTTCCTCATAGGGAAAATATTTCTTTTCATTCCATTTATTGTCGTCGAACGGCATGTATTCAATAAAACGGACAGCTAAATTCGGTTGATCACGAGCTAATTCAACAAAATCGTTCAATTCATCTGTGTTAATTCCTTGCATAACCACACAATTGATTTTCACTAATGGATACGATTTCGGCATATCCAATGCTAAGCGTATATTCGACAAAACTCGGGCAAACGCTGCACGTCGTGTGAGAAATTCGAATTTCTGTTGTACTAAAGTATCCAATGAAATATTTAATGAATTTAGACCAGCTTGAGCAAGCGGTTCGAGTAAACGATGTAGAAGCACACCATTGGTCGTTATTCCAATCGTTTTCATCGTCGGATATGACCGTACTCCACGTACGATATCAACAAGGTCCTTTCGAATTGTTGGTTCTATGTCAGAAAAACATGGAGATTGTTTTTAGAAAGAAAGAAACATTCGTTCTATAAAAAATATCTTTTCGACAGCAAGAGACTCACTCACCTTTGACTAAACGACGTACCTCCTCCGGTTAGACGGATTTTGTTAACGCCACCATATGTAGTAAATATTCGAATTAGATGTAGAATCTCATTAGTACTTAATAGATGACTTGAAGGAGAAAGATCTACTCCTTTTTCTGGCATACAATATTGGCATCTATTCGCATTCGAAGAAAATTAATGAAGTTAAAAAAAGAAAGCAATCGATCTTTTACCTTAGATTACATCGTTCTGTGAGGGATATACGCAGATAGTTATGCAAGCGATTAAAACTATCAATAAGTACTGTTGATTGACGAGAGATAGAACTCATCTAAATACGAAAAAAACAAATTTGCATTACGAGAAAAATAAGCGATGTCAGTGTGTTTTAACTTCGCACAAATGTGTCGTGTCAAGATAAAAACGAATCGAAAGAAAAAGGTATATTATTCTGATTAATAAAACATGTTTGCAATAACGATAATAGTACATTTCACGTATATACAGAACGGTATATAGGGAAAGAACCAATGATAAAGTCAGAGATAAACAATTCAAGGCATATGGTAAACGGCGACTATTCTGCTTCAATAGATGTCATACAAATACAACGTGTAATGTGTTTTGAAGTTTGATGTGTAGAAAAGTTAATGAATACATTTGTCTGATCGATACTTGAATGTTATTGTTAGAGAAAATCTTCTCTTCAACAATATGTCTATTGTTTCATTTGGCATTGATTTGATTGCGAGAAATTTATGCTTGTTCTATGGCATAAGTAGATTTACACAATATGCATCGACACACTGATTTGATTACGAACATCATCGATGTTTTTTTTAATGAAAGCAAATATTTCGATTGTACTGTGTGACAGTTCTATTTCAATTGATAACTTCGTCTGTAATCATACAGGAAGCAAAATCTCAGTTCTTGTCTTCGTTCTTCAAAACAATTGAACAGTATTCATGAGTGTTCTTCTCAAATAATGATATACTCTCCTTGCCTAGGATTTCCTTTCTAAGCTCATTTCATTTCGAGTGATTGTAACTTACAAGAGCAGATAAAGTACATCAATTCCATTAACATTTACGTCAGAAACAGAGATTTGCTTGAGCGTAAGTGACGAATGATTTAGTACTATAAAGCGAACGATCAATATAACTGCTAATGGCACATTAGATGCACTGAATGGAGATACTTTATCGAATTGAATGTCATCAAATAACTATGATGCAGCTCGTCATGCTACTTGATTTATCCTACTGAAGAAGTAGATTAGGTAAGTTTTATTCTTTACAAATACTGATATTGTTTCTTTTGATACTTCCTAATCCGGTCTGTTGTTCGAGAAGTACGATGTGAGAAATAACAGGACGTTCATCACATAATTATTCACAAAATCATGCACGACAAATCAGACATTTCATTTTTCTTATTGGTACCTTTTCAAGTCGATTAAATTCTCAAAATTAGGAAGAAGGAAGTCGATTCAATAAAAGAAAATACTTCCTATTTCACACACAATACTTCGTTCTCGGAAAATACATTAACATAGTACAAAACATTTTGTTCTCAAACAAAAGAAAAAAGAATCGTCGAACTTGAATTTCTCGAAAAACTTTGCTCTTTGATCGACTTTTTTCTTAATTTAATCTTCATTCATTCGTCAAATGGAAAGTCTGCGATGTAATTTATCCAGGTTCGCTGAGAAATATGTTATTCAATTAGTTTCCTTTAAAACAGGATCAACGTAATGAATAAAAAATTATCGTCGAAATTTCTTTTGACATGTGGTTTGCTTTTCCCCTTCTAAGAATAAATTACAGTTAGTTGGAGGATGAAGAGCGCAGCTCTGATTATTCCAAACTGATGTTTATGAAATAGATCCCTTGAACTATCAAATGGGCAATCAAGCGTGATCATCATGACGTTTTCTTTGTTTTCGGGAATGTATGTTCTACCTTAACTATTGTTTTCTTGAAAGAGAAAAAAAATATCAAAGGGATTCTCCAAAGGAAACGTTGCTTCCGCTCGAATGAGAGCCTTTCTGTGTGCATGATTTTGTTAACTAGTTAATTGGAGGAGCGCAGGAGGAAAACAGAGAGAGAGAGAGAGAGAGAAAGAGAGATGATGGTGCATTCAAGTTCAACTAAGAAAGAGAAAAATATTAATCGAGCTCCAGTGTGCATATAATAACATTTGACAGAACTGCAACGAATTCTATGACATATATATATTCAACAGTATTTGAAATCTTCTAACTACTTGTGTTTTTATTCATGTAACAGAACATATTAATCAAAGTAAGAGTGTACATAGCTTGAAAATCATTTCGTTTTCTTGTTTTAGTATTAAAACCATGAGTAACACTTATCATTTGATTCTATTCATTTTGATTATTAACGTTTTTCTCGTATTCGTTTTGCCACTTGTCAATTGTGAAGATGAACGAACGAAACTGGATTCAATTGACAAAATCATCGAGAGCAAGACAATGAAAAGTCGTCTACATGACTCTGAAGATAAAGATCGGGAAATTATGGAATATTTCATTGAACATCTGTTCAAACCGTATCCTCAACGTCGAGCCTCATCATTTCATGCCATGCGAGGCAAAAGATTTCTTAGACAACCTCTCTAATCATATTCATATCGACTTATTTCAAAGAGTTTTTCTTTTATGAAATAAAAGATCTTGAAGTTCCAAATAAATTATATTTAGTTGTATATAAAACCGTACGCACATTTCTTTTCTTCCGAATAAAAACTGTTACCTTGTCCTTATCCAATAGAACATCTCTCCTTTCTCAGTACATTGCCGAGGTAAAGACAATTCTCTTAATGATCTGCTTATTGAACATGCACAGTCATTTGACTTACTCTCTAACGAATCTTCTCGATGATCTTTGAAAGATTTGCAATTCTTTCGTAAATGATGAGAAAATCACGTCAAGTGTCTTATTAAACATGTCCGCAGAAATTCTCTCTCGAGAAGATTCTCAGACTTTCTATTCTTGCTTTGAACTCTCGTCTTCGGTTCAAAGATAATGGTTCACGAGGAATTTATAAATAAAACACTCCTAGTACATATTTATCTCGACGGCAATTTGTCCCCAAGCGTCACACAAAAGAATTCCATAAATGTCTTCTTTTTCGACGAAGGATTCAAATAGAGAAAAGAATGTTAAATCAGGATATTTCGTCTGCGTCTACGTTCAAGTATTCGTCTAAGTAAATTTAGATGGATTAATCTGAGAAGAAATTCAATTGAATATTTTGTCCACCATTGTATGAAGCTTCAATGAGAAAAATTTGAGCTTATCATGTCTTCATGATCTAATACCATTCCATGCGGACATTCATTTGATAGTGACACTCTTCTCTCGGATATTTAATACGATAATTTTTGCAGTTTCAAATAGCTTCTTCAAGAACAATTAAAGGATAATGATGAACGGTGAGTATGACATATAAATTAGACAGAAACGGGAATTGAACAATGGCGAAGATGACTAGGCATTGAAATTTTATATTATTGGTTTCGCAATTCTTCATCGCTGGCTGATCGAATTACAAGTAGGCTAAGTCATTCAATAATGTTCTTGAAAAATGTAGTAACCTTTGTTCGATAAGTTTCAATGGGATCAACAGATCCTCAACGATCGTGAAATAGTAATCAATATTTATTAGTGTTTATATATAACCCGATCTACCGACGTTGATGGGTTGACTGTGACCTAGCCATCAGGCACATTCTACGTCAAAGAAAACTATACAGTGGTGATATAATGTTAATGTTGATAGGGAATAAACAGTTAATGAAATCTCATTTTCGTGAAAAAGTACATTTTCATCGTTTTGTTATTCAGTGGTAAAGGGACAGGTATAAAAACGAGCACAATATATATATATATATTCGACTTTTAAAAATCAATAAATAGAAAATTAAAAATCAATACCGTTCCAATTTTATTTCGTGGAGTTAATACTTTAATCATATAAACCTTGGGAATGTATTCTTTGTGATATACTCAAAAATTATATCTCGATATAAAATGTCAATCTTGTTCTGAGTTTGTACAGATACAATCTAATGAATCTACTCAATATCGCTCTCGGTTCTTGGCTCTTGGTCGTCTTCATTCAATGCAAGGCAACGCCATTAGATGACTATGTGAATACTCCAGACTCCGCCTTCGGATGGAAACGCATTAGTACGTATCCACAATCACTTTATACGACTTATGTATTGAATATGACATCACAACAATGGTTCGATAGTAAGACGATACTTTGTCAATGATAGAAATTTCTATGTCGATCATAGGTTCATTCTCAACACGACCGATTTGGTGGCATTATGTCATTATCGTGGTTCCGAAAACGTTCCGTCGTCCCAAGACAGCTTTTTTACTTATTGATGGGGGCTCCAATTCCGATTCGTACGTTTCAGTTGTTTTATTGCTAATGAAGGAGCAAATTTTTCAGAAAACTAATCTATTTCTCATCTTCTACAGCAGAACATATTCGATTTCAAGGAATAGTCCTCATATTTCACAGAAAATAACCACCTACTGCGTAATTTTATATGTTTGTTATGTGTACTTAGACCACCTACTAGTAGTGGAATAGCATCAATGGCCAGTTCTTCAGGTAGTGTCATTGCTACTATTCGACAAATTCCCAATCAAAATATTCGATTTCTGGTACGTGAGTTCTTTACCTTTTGGCAGTATAGGGAGATTCATTTTGTTTTTCAGAGTGACCCGACAAGTAGTTCTCGCTCAGAGGATTCATTAATTGGTTGGACATGGAAACGATATTTAGAGACTAACGGTAGTGACCCACGAATACTTCTTCGTTTCCCAATGACCAAAGTTAGCAACAATCCACCGGAACGGATGATCTTTCTAACATTTCTTTTTTTCTACTGACAATAGGCAGTCATACGAGCAATGGACACTGTCGAACAATTCTTAGCTCAAGAAAACTATCCGGTGCCACAAGAATTCGTACTCGCTGGTGGTTCAAAAGTAAAATTCATCTGTCACATTCCGTATGTTCAACGAAACTTTTGTTTTGCAGCGTGGATGGACAAGTTTGAGCTCAATGAAATTGGTTTTCGTTTGATTTGCTCGATATTTTAGCGTGGACAAGTGCTGCTGTTGATAATCGACGAGTTGTGGCTGCCGCACCGATCGTCATGGACTTACTGAATCTTCGAGCCGTAAGAATTATTGAAAAAGATTAATCATTCATATCTCTTTATTATTTATGTATAGAACATGATGTCACATTATCGAGTGAGACCTGGTGTTGTTAAATATGTATGTAAACGAAATTTATTTTTAGTCTCTCGGAGGATGGACATTCGCTTTTTATGATTACTATGTACAAAATATAACACGTTACATGAACAGTCCTAGTTTCGATAAATTAGCTCAAATGGTTGATCCGTATTGTATAAATTTTGCATTTTATTTTATTTTGATCTGCATTCGGTTTCTATAGCCTATATTGATCGATATAACAAAATGAAAATCTATCAAGTACAAGGCGCTGGTGATGAATTCTTCCTTCCTGATAGCGAAGTTAGACAACTTCTTTTCAACATGTAATTGTGAAAGAAAGCTTTTTCGTTTTTCATAGGAATTCTTTTGGAATGATTTGCAAAAGGCAACAGGTGGATCTTATTTAAGGTGAAAAAGCTCAGACAAAAAAGAAACTCAACAAAATCCTCCTTCTTGTCTTCTATTAATAGACGAATACCAAATACTGGCCACAACGCCGGTGGATATCAAGATAGTTTATACAGTTTCTATCTGAGCGTAGCTGATGTAAGCTAGCATCTTATTTACTGTATGCTGTTTACTTACAATCTTTAGAGAACAATTTTACCAGCAATGACATGGACACGAATGACGAATGCAACACATGGTACTATCCGTGCTGTTGTGGATTTCAGTAATGGGAAGGCAAAAGCCAGTGCTGTAACTGCTTATCAAGCTCGTACTAGTGATACATCGAAGTAAGATTAGATGATTGGAATGTGACATACTTTTCTGCTGTTTCTCAAGACGCGATTTTCGACAATCAAAACTCGATTCATCGGGAAAAGTTGTGAGCTCCGGCATCGTTTGGGCAAACACCGCCGTTCAGCTCGAGGTAATCGAATATTATATTCTCTGAATATACGAATACTTCATTTCGATCTATGAATTCAAAAGAGTCAAAGTGCCACATCTGCTATCTACACAATCGTTGTTCCTATTCCATCCGACGGATATTGGACTGCTACTTATATTCAAGCTTCATTTCCTGGACCTGACTCAACAACGCTTATATTAACAACAGAGTCACTTATTTTGCCAAACACTTATCCGATTCCAGAATGTAAAGATCAGGGATGCTATGGAACATTGGTCTAATTTTCTTTTTCAAACTATTTTAAAAGCGAAGAAATGAAATGAGTCGTTAAATAAAAACTTCTGTGTTCTATTTATTTCAATATCAAAAACATTGAGTGAATCCGCAAAACGTACAAAATAGGATCAATGAATCTATCATGTGTGTAAGAAACAAAGTGGATTAGAAATCAAAGAGAATAATACATAACAAAATGACATGTTGTCTTCTATTTATGATCAGTTCGTTTTCTTCCTGATGAATTTCTGTTGGATTTAGATGAAGATGAGGATGACGAAGACGACGATTCACGACGACGATGATTGCGACGAAAACGTTGTCGTAGAAATTCAGGCGTCGGTGAACGTGATTTAGCTGCTGACGATCTTTTCTTATTGCGATTTTTTGATGAATGTCGAGATGATGATGATGAAGATGAAGATGAAGACGACGATGATGTCGACGACGAGGAAGATCGCGAAGTTGAACGACGACGAGAGGGAGGAGGAGGACGACGAGGTGTTGGTGAACGACTAAATAGATTTAACGAACATTCGACACGATATTCAAGAAAATATGGTACGCGGCATACCTTCTCGATCTTGTTCGGGATCTCGATCGACTACTTGAACGATGGTGTGAACGACGATGGCGATGTTTTCCAAAAGACTGACGCAATTCGGATTCTCGAGCCTCGCGTTCTCTCTCTTCTCGTTCCTCACGTTCACGTTGTTGATCTTTGTCCTTTTGAACTACAAATCGAAGAAAACTGAATATTTATCTTCATCTACAGTAAGACTATTTACATTGTTTTTTCAGAAGTGTCTGCATTCGACGACGAAGTTTCTCTTGAGGTGTTTTAACCAACGAACTCTACACAACGAAATATTCCATTTCGATTCAAGTTTTTGCTTATATGGTTTTACCTTAGATGAAGATGATGATGATAATAATGGGTTAGAACCATTCTGTTCTTTGTGTGCGACTGATGTTGCACTTGAATCTTGATTGCGTCTGGAAAATATTTAGTAAATTTAAATGGAAACAATTTCTTGCTATAGCTAGTTTACTGTCGAGCTTCTTTTCGTTTGAGGTATTGTTGAAGATAATTATCGTCGTCTTCTTCTTCGTCTTCATCTTCATTATCTTTTTTACTATTCAGATTTTCTTCTTTCTTCTCTAATTTAACGATTTTGATTGCTGGAATTTCATCGTCAGATAAAGCATGTCGTTCTCTAAATATTCAATAATAATCAAATAAAATATTTGAAAAAAAAACAAATTCAGGCATACGGTGATGAATCTTCTTTCAATTTCTGTAATGTTGATAAAAGAACTTGACTTTTTCTTTGTATTGTTCGGCAAGGAACAAATGTAGTGCTAAGGAAATCGAAGGATAAGTTCCGATTATAAGAAATCTTAATGTAAAACTTACGTTGGCTCTGGCAATCGTGGTGGTGTGGCTAGACGATGAGTGCGAATGGAAATCACTTGTGGATCAGCTTTCTTCTTCGCTTCTCGGCATTCATCGAGTAGAGACTTTTCGAAAGATCGTTTGCGTTTCAATTCATTTGCTTTCGACGCATCATCCTCACCAAACGCAGTGATAAATTCGATCTTCTCTTTCACTGGTGTGTTATCCACAGGCGATGGCGAACGAGATTTTGATTTCGCTTGCACAACAGGTAATATCGGAGTTTCACGATTAAGATAACTATAGAACGAATGGATTGAGAAAGAAAGACAAGTGAAAAGAAAATTACTTCGGTGGACAAAATTCTCGTTCTTTGATTCGTCTCTCCTTTGCTAAACGACGTTCACGACGTCCTCGACGGCCCTGAAAAGAAATCTTTCATAAAACGCATAGGAAAAAACGAACTTCTTTCTCACCTTTCCCGGCACATCTTGTTCTCTATCCAATTTATTTTCTCGAATTATTTGCATTTCTTCTCGATCAAGAATCAACAACCGTGCAAAATCTCCAAAAGCTAATCCATAATGTGTAGCGACTTTATTTAACGATGCTTTGTTTTCACTGGTTAACTGTGCGACATCGATTTCAATGTCTAAATCTAAATCATCATCGTCATCATCGGCGTTGTCACTATCGTCAAGTATTGATTTCTTCGATGATGTTGTCGCAGGCGCATCATCATAAGCGAAACCGATTTCTGCTTTTTTCCCAATGGATCTAGATTGAAATGAAAAAGAAAACAACGATAAATGTATTTAATTCTGCGAACAAAACGTGCTACTTGTCGGACGCTCGTTTCCTAAGTTTCTTATGGTCACAGCCTACTTTTTCTTTTTCGCTTCTCGCGAAGCTGGATGTTCATCTCGAAGTGCACCGAATTTTTCATCATTTTCAATATCACGTAAACATTGTTCTTCGCTAACTAAAATTTTTCAAAAAAGAATCGTCGAGTGTTTTCTTCTTCGTCTATCGACTTACCACCCGTTGATTCGTTATGAATTAACACTCGATAACGTTCATAATTACATAAACGTTCCTCATTTTGTTCCGTTTCAGTTAACGATCTATTAGGGATAAAACAGAAATCAGTTTTGGCCTGTGTTCGATTCATTGGAGATCGTATGCGAAACAAAATTGAAAAAGTACCGACTCGGAGCCTTGTTGAGTTCTTAGAGAATATTCATCAATAATATCCAAATGGGAACGAACATCAAATCGATCAATTAGTGTACTTTCATCATCACGCCATGGTGTCCTAAAGTGAAACGAAAATCAGATCTGAGTGAAGTGATGAAAATTCGAACTTACAATGTCGATTCAGCAGCAGCAGCGACCGCTGGATCTAGATGAATCTTTGCTGGTCGGCCCCAAATTTGTAAGAACTCTGCTGGATCACGTTTCTATATGAAGACATACAAGATGACAGGAGAGAAATGATGAAATTCAACGAACAATTCTTTCGTAATATTCTTTCCGTCGTTCTGATCGTTTTTTATAATCAACAATCATTCCGCGAAGTTTCTTTTCGTGCTTTCGCATTTCTTGCCACATGACTATTGTTTTTCGATCTGCAAGCAAAAGAAAAAATACTGTGGAATAGAAAAAGAAGATCGATCGAATAGAGATTCATTCACTGTATTCATTCGAAACATAGGAAAAGAAAAGAAAAGAAAGATTAAAATTATAAGAATTAAAAAGAAACGATTAATTCTCTTGCTGTTGACGCTTCATCAACGCTTTCATTCGATTAAGTTGGTCAAGAAATTTCAGAATACGCTGTTGATCTTCGTCGATCTCCCGTACCGAACAATCTTTGATGTTCCTCATGGAATCACGCACTTGAATGTAATCACGTGCAAGAAAATACAATATCGTAAAACAATGGTAAATTTTGTTCAATTCTTGGAGGGTTGTTGGACCGTGGGACGTTTCGTGACGATAAGCTAATAATGTTTGAAGTGTATTATGTGCTTCGGCTTCTGTGGCTAAGTCTTGGAGAGAAGAAGAGAGATTTAGTTGAAGTCAGAAAAACAAATGACATTTGATTTACCAAGTTTGGACGGATTTGTTGTGTTTTCTTCGTCATCTTCATCGTTGTCTTGTTTTCCTAAAACGGCTTCCATGTCCGAGAAAACAACTCGTGATTGAAGAAGACGACGTAAATGATTGTACCACATTTGTGTTACTTGAGTGTATAATGATTCAGTGACTTCCAAACGGTTCATTAGTTTAAAGACTTTACCCAAAAGAAAATAACCTCCGGCTACTTTATAATGCTCTGTACCGTAAAACAACGAAGCATCGTAAATCTAAATGGACAAGAAATGAATGAAGTCAATTGAGCGTTTGATAATACAAACATCATTCGCTAAATGTCTCGCTGCTTCGTCATAATCTCTTCTGGCAATACTTAATTGTGCCATATTTCGTGCAACTTGTGATGTGATTGCGGGTGGAGCGTGATCTTGTTGTTGTAAAACTGTATACTGTGCTTGAGATAAGTATTCCCAACATTGATTTAATTGTTTCAAGCCTAGACTTGCTTCAGCTAAGACTAAATATGATGGAATAAGTTCGACACTTCGTGGACCATGAACCTCGATAGCTAATTTTAAGGAAGCAAGTGCAGCTGGTATGGCAGCATCGTAACGGCTTTGAAAAACCTACGATAAACAAAGAGATTTTGGAAACAGAAGACGAACTTTTCGTTCTTTATTACGTGTCTTTCGCCAATCATTCGTGTAACTTCGATTAAACGAAGTTTCTTCTCACGGATTTCTCGATCACGATCACGACGTTCTTCTTCCGATGGAAGAAATGGTTGTTTCGCTCGAATTGTTGCCAATGTCGAACAAATTTTATCATGGATACCATTACTATCAGTTGCTTGATGTTCTTCGGAACAGTAATATGTTACACGACATTTGGCACACATACGTGACGCTGTTTTGCCACAGATTTCACATTTGTGTGCAACAGATTTGGGAAAAGCGAGAGGATAGACGATTTCTGTTGTCGCCATCCTTTCCTTTATTTTTGTCAGTAACAAACAATGATCAGGAGGAGAAATGAAAAGACTTTCTCGAAACAACCAATAAGAATCAAAAGAAAACTACACTGACATCTAAAGACACTTGGATACCGTACTGTTTCAAATTTACTTTTGGAAAGAAAAGTAACATTTCTTATACAAGATAACATTGACACAGTTCCAATAACTTATTCTTATTCTATTACAGAAAATCAACTAATTCACTATGTACATATATAAATACGTCAAGAAAGTACGATACAATAAGAATTTCCTTTGAATTATTCAATATCGCACCTATTCTCTACTTTCGCTAATAAATAATCACGCATTCGATTGATCAATCAAACATACTGAACACAAGTTCGAAGTTCTCATCCTTCTCTCTTCATATAACCAGATTATATCGGAGTACATCCACGCCATCTAACGTTCATATAGATAATCACACAAGATACTGTTCGGTTATTCGTTCAGACAACGAATCAAAGAACGCATGGATGTATTTATCTCTGTTTGCTCACACTCACATTATTTGTACACATAGCTTTAATCCAATGCAACAGTAGACCAACACATATGATATGTTCTAACATTGGATAGAGATTAATAAATACTCGTTCCGAAATGATTCTCGACAAGTATTACATATATGTGTTGTAATCATTGTAGTCGTTATGTGTCTAACAGATCCTTAAACATACTCTTTGAACCGACGGTGAACAAAACAAATACTCTACGAAAAAGAAACATTCTTTCATACGAAAGAGTTAATTGAGTTGTTCACAGAGAAATTAAATCTATTTGTTCGTAAAGTATAATCTACAATTGTTGTTGCTACTGTTCAGATAAGTGATGAAATAAAAATTCCCAATTGATTTATCTTGTAGAATATTTCGAATTTTCGTCAATTCGCATATTGATATGGCTGACGAAATATCTGAAAAAGATATTCATGGATGTGTAGAGGATAAAAATGGTGATTTAGATGCAAATGCACCGAATCCTGTCAATCCACACCCTCAACATAGTGAGGATTGTCCTACACCAAAACCAACAACGACGACGATAGAAGATTTACCTGCTCCAACTCCGGTCTCATTGAAATCACCTCACATTACTCGTCCACCTCAACGACCCGGTCCAGCCCTTGGACCTTATTATCAATTTTTAACTACTGATTTAAATCAAATGCTATGGTACGGAAGTGCACTGATATTTCGTGAAATTTCATTCGATCAGCCAACAATTGATTTCTTCTGTGAACCAAAGTTAGACTATAGTTGGGAAGTTTTATATGAGAATATTTTTAACATGCGTGCTTATCGTGTAAACATCTCCGTAGAATTACGTGATGGTGAAGGTGATGATAAAATTCACTGGAAAATGAATTGGGGTGATCGAGTAACCGAAGGCGTATTTCATATACCACGCTACAATCAAAAATGGCGTGGTGGATTTTTCTCTTGCAATGGCTTCGATGCCACGGTACCTGAACAAACAAAATCCGATTTGACGTTCGGTGACGTTTGGGAACATTTAAATTCTGTTCACAATGAAACACCTCTGCATATCTTAATATGGGGTGGGGATCAAAATTATATTGATTTTATGTTTGAAGATATCCCGTACCTCAAAGAATGGGTGGAAATGGAATGGAATTCGAAGTGGACCTGTGATTATCGAGATGATTTACGTGAACAAGTTGAGGAATATTATTTCAATTCTTATGTACAAAACTGGGAACGACCAGAAGTTAAAAATGCTTTAGCGTCAATTCCAAGTGTGATGATGTGGGATGATCATGATATATTCGATGGAGCAGGATCATATCCTCCTCTACTTCATGATAGTCCAATGATGACGGGTCTATTTAATGCAGCACAAAAACTTCGTCTACTGTTTCAACATCAAACAACAAAAGAAAAAGCTCGAGATCACGGCTTATTCGGCTATCAAGGATACAATTTTCTTTCTCGATGTGGACCAGATTTACTTCTGGTTGGCTGTGATGGACGTACAGAACGCAATACAGAGACAGTTCAACACGCACAAAGTTGGAAATTAATATTTAATAAATTAGAAGAACAAACATCAGACATTGCACATTTGATCGTTTTATTTCCTGTTCCATTTTCGTTTGTTCGATTTAAATTAGCTGAGACAATATTCGAGCATCTCAAAAATCTTCCTAACAAATACCGACATCTTCCCGTTGTTAAACAGACGAACTCAATATTTGGTTTACCCGAATTGTACGATGATCTTCTCGATGAATGGACCCATAAAGCGCATATCGATGAACGCAATCGTGCCTTAGCACAATTTCAAGAATTAGCTGAAAACAAACGAATCAGAATCACGTTCTTCAGTGGTGACGTACATTGCTGTGGAATAAGTCGATTTCAAACAAGAAACCAAACAGGATTGATACCAATTCATGATAGTAAATTGATGTATCAAGTTATTTCTTCGGCCATCGTGAATATTCCACCATCCCGACGAGCACTTCGTGTCGCTCATTATGTTAAGACAAAATGGCATCCAATCGATAATACCGATGAAGAACTAATTGATTTTTTCCCACGTTTACCTGAAACAGGAAGAAAGATAGCACACAAAAAGTTACTTTCCAATCGAAACTGGTGTTATTTCGAAATATGCGAAGAAACCAATTCAACAGTTTATGACAATGCGACCACTGACCTTTTCCGTCGTCATTCGAAATCGAAAGACCAAAATGCAGCTGCGACAGATTTAGGTCCAACATCAACGGAGGACGGACAGGGAGGATCGAGATCTCCAATACATCGACATTCTCATCGTGGTTCTTGTTCAGCGAAGAGAGAAGTTGGAGAAGAAGAAATCGGAACAAAACCATTGAAAACTCGACTGTGGTTAGAAAGCGGCAAAAAACACAAAGAAGGAAGACGATTTGTCAGTTATGAGTTATTAATTCCAAATCTTATTTAGACTGATCAATGCAAAAGTAGTTTTTCACTCAATTGCCTTCAGAAATAATTGTGTAGTTACAATATCTCTCCTTGTTGTGTATGGAATCATCTTTGATTTTGTTAATAAAAAGCGTTATCTTATAAAAAAATTGTATAATTTAGCAGATTCAATTAATTCTTTTTTTGTATTGTGAGAATTAAACGAAATTTTGAAAAGCATTCTGATGTGTTGAATTGATCATTATTTTGGACATGATTTCACATACTGTTCTGTTTCTTGTTGCATTAGTATTTTATCTAATTCGCGTTGATAGTTTTTCGAAAGACATTTGCTACTTTCTTGGTCACGTTTGTATGATGGTACACCTTCAATTCGAACCATCGCGAAAAGATTCGTAGCAAATACTTTACAGTCGTTTGGCAGGTGATTTTCACATCGATTCTTGATATATGTATAGAACGTGCAGTCGCATGTCAGTCGACTCATCGAACAATTGCGATAACATGCATCATGGCTGACACAGCATGGAATGATTTCACTCCGATCGATTTTGTTGAGAGCCAAATCTATATTCACACCCATGGGTCCGCATCCGAGTGAATTCTCACTGATGATAGAAACAGATGACGCCAGACTAATCAGCGATAGAGTTTTGACGATGAGCGAGTATGTTTTCAACGTGACTTTGCAGAAGACTGGCAATGACAACAACGCTATATAGTTGATTTCAAGTAGAAAATATTTGACACGAAGTAGGCGATAAGGTGTACGCTGTGCTTTAGTTATATAGTGGTCAGATCGAACGGTAAGTCATGCTTGGGTATGTCTAACGTCAGTAAGTGATTCAAGTCGAAGTTTCTAATAACTCACCATGTTGATAATTTATCATGCTCGTTGTTTTGTTTTACGATGAATAATACATAAGAATCGATTGTAAGTAATACATGATGAACGAGAATAATCGCGAAAGATGATGATTTACATCATTATGATAATACCAAACCTCAGGAAATCTAGCGAAGCGACAAATCACAAAGCGGAGAAGAATCGAATGGAAATTAGTCTATATGAAGAACCATCATCGATATCTTCATTCTTGATATTATATTTATTGTACAAGTATTAGCTATACTCGTGTTCAATTATAATTACAGTCAAATGGAACATTGGAAGTGGTTTTTGTCAAAGCATTATTTAAGTTAATTTTAAATGGTGAAGGGACCAGTTATCATTCATGGTTCAATATATACTTCTCTCTTCCCTCTCTCAGCTGTCGATATAAACATTGAAATTGGATAAAAAGCCTTGTTGATACTTTTCTGGGTAGTGATAAATGACCGAAGGATAGTTAAAACAATGGCGAACAACTTGATTGCTTTAGTTTGAGTTGTATTATTAGTTTGTGCTTATGATGCCATAAAGAAGAAATTTCCATTTCGAAATGAGTGATATATATTCAAGAGACAGAGAGAGGGCAAGAAGAAGATTTTTTCTAATTTCTAGTCTAAGAATAGATCTTTTGTTCAGCGACAAGTGAAGAAATCTGCATGGAAAATAACACATTTCTCCAACAAAACTATTGTGAAAAATCAGATATGAATAAGTGATGCTGGTAACCACAGATGATTTGTTCACATCAAATGATCAAAATTCTCCGAGAATTCTGAAGACTAAATAAATGATGCACACGGATATGTACATTTTACGAGATAATATTTCTCGATGTGTCATATCTTTCTAATGCTGTCCTTCACTACAGTTTATAGTGTTCCATATCTAACAGTAGACTGAATATACTAGAAGCGCTGATTATCCGAAATGATCAAACATTATCATTTATTTTTGAGAACGAATAAGAAAAACGAATGATAAGCATTGTTTATGAAAATAGACATGATTTTAGTTCTTTTTCAATGTTTTCTTTGTTCCAAAAGGTCTCGAAAAAAGAGTTTGATGGACAGTTACTTCTTTGATCACGTTGGTACGATGATATGCCTCCAATTCGGACTAATGTATAAAACTTTATTGCAAATACTGCGCAATCATGAGGTAACTTGTTTTCACATTGGTTTTTAATGCATTTGTAGAAATCACAATCGCACTGAAATCGAGACATTGAACAGTTACGATAGCATATGTCGTGAGCAACACAGCATGGTATGATCTCTTCTCGATCAATTTGATTGAGACCTTGGTCAATATTGATACCCATCGGTCCACATCCATATGTATTACCACCCTCAACAGGATTGGACAATGTTAAATGGATCATAGACAGAATTGTGAAGATAATCAAACAAATTTTCATCATTGTAGTTCGATCGGTATAGCAAGAATTATACAAGAAACTGTACTTGAAATATTGTTTATGAAAACAATTCTATCCGTTGCATTGTATTTATATGGAGAGTGCTAAGTAGTACGGTAAGTCATGGTTGAGTCTCTTTTACGTCAATGAATGAGTCAAACACTATTTCAAATACGGTTTTGCACTTGTTCGACTCGTAAAATACGTATTAGTCATTAAAAACGTAACACGATAATACAGTACACATCGTATTCATGAAGGTGTAGATATGACTGATTTGTCGATGAAAAATACTAAATAGTACTTTGATTACTTCTATGTCTATTGTTCTGTATGCACTATCAATATCCAGACACGTTCTGGCATTGCGTTCGAAAAGAATTCTGTCTTTATCTTGTTTAATAACCTTTGAACTGCTTTTCAGTTCTATATATCAGTAAATATAATTTGAAGTATCCCGATTTTTTTTTTTCGACAACAATAATGAGGGGAATGGCGGAAGATTCGACTGCTTGTGATTACTTTAATTTTTGTATTATGCAATCGATTCGTTTTTGAAGCACAAATAAATGTAAGGATTTGACTGACTTCATAAAATATTCGCTTAGATTTTGTGATACTGAGATCGAAATATTGAACATTATGTTCACGCTAATTATAGTGGTCCATCATCGGTTACGAATGCAATTTACAATAGTGTTGAACTGAAAAGTTGAATTCAGTTATTCCCCTCGTTCTGTCAACACCCATCCCTCACCCTCAATTATATTTGATTTTTGCGTAGATACACTCAAAAGTTGAAAATACACGGGAAATTTCAAAGCATCCATTTGACTATAGCAATTTCTTGCTATTCTTCGTATTTGTCCAATTCAAAATCTCGTGCATTGTTTGATGTTAAAATTATTTATTTTAATCTTATGCATGAGATGTTTACACGCATAACAATCTCACCTGACATTTTGTCTGACAATGAGGTTTTCAAAATTGACTTTCCATTTGTTCTCAAGGAGCGCAGTAGGACAATTCCCTCGTTATCTTTTTCGGTTTTATACATGACCACTTGTCTTTCATTTGAAACTACCCACGCGCCTATCTTAGACGAATCGTTGGGCTGTAATACGAAACTTAATCTCGCATGACACAAAAATTGAGAAGCGTCCGTAATCATAAGATTTCAAAAAATTACGGAAAAATACGCGTCAAACAGGCGAATGATCATTATATTCAAAGCGTAGCCACACTACATGAGAACTATCAATAACCGTCGAACTTCAAATGACTAACCAAGGAATGGCGGTAAAAATCAGCATATTTAACTATATGTAGTTAATATCTCAGGATAGATTTCACGATGGTCCTGTGTTTTTTTTTGTATAGTATTATACAACGGTAATATGAATTTGCAATTCACTCATATGTTGACCGGTTTCACTGGCATATCCTCTAGCGCCATCTTTGAATAGAATTTTATGTCCATCCGACTTATTGACCAATTGATTACTTCTCCTGCTTAGTTCTGTTTTTTTCCTACTAGTTACTTAAATTACGATTCGAACTAATTTATCGCTCGATATGTACAGAACAATTCTCGACCAATGTTAAATTAACTGATTTTATGTTTGTGTCTACAAGAAGCTGACAAACATCGTACGATCTGATTTTCAAGTCAATTCCAACAAATATCGATAAGTATTATGACACAAAATGTATAATTATGATAATATTGATGAAAGTACATTTCTAGAAAAATACGAGTTGTACTTTTGAACCGTGAGATTTTTCTTGTTGTGGAGCTATTTACGCTCTGGGAAGTTTTCAGTAGTTTCTATCGATTTATATTTCATTTTCTTTAAATATGTACAGGTCGTTGATTTTGAATGCTTGAAGTCTTTTCCACATTGCGTTGATTGACCATAAAAATCACTCTCTATTGTTGAGAGATAATATGTTTTGATTATACAGATTTTCAATAGTTAAGTAGAGAAAAATATCGCGCAAGCGTGAAACTTTTGTTTCATTTTCATCGACTAAATGTAAATCATCGTCTATCCGGTCGTATAGTGATTATGAAAAAAGAGCAAACACCTTTTCCTTATTCTGTTAGCCGACTTTGAAATTGTTTGTTCTCCGCAAATTAAATGACTTCAGTACCTAATCGTACACAAATTACTTTGCTTGATGAATTAAATCAATCGTAGTTTCGATCCGGCCTACAAAAATAGACTGTCTGAAGAAAAAATACAATTTCGCTGCGTATCCTATTACTCAAAGTCAATAGAAATCGATCTGTTATTAAAAAATAAAAGCGATATGTACATGTTAGTGTTACTGTCATGCTTTTCTCATATGGGATATTTTAGATTTGATTGTTCTATTGATATTCACTATCAATTCCTATCGAACAAATGAGCAAAGATCACGTAACTGCGATACGAAATCGTCTTTTTATTTCGTTTGGTGTAGCATGGGTATCCTACGCATTGACTTACTTTTTACGCAAGCCATTAGGAATTGTGAGTAACTGGTTCATTTGATATATTCTATTTTGTATTCATCTAATTCAATAGATCAAAACCGATCTCGAACATGATCTAAATTTTTCGAAATTTCAATTGGGCCTATTTGACACTGCTCTGTTATTACCCTATGCTCTTATTCAAGTAAGATAAAATTATTCAATCGATTGTCATTTCAAATGATTTGTTCAATTACATTAGACTTTCTTCGGCTCAGTTGGCGATAAGTACGGTTCTCGACGTACGTTTGGTTATGGCTTAATTGGTTCTGGTATTGCTATGGTATGTCATAAGAATCAATTGATTGACATATCGACTATTGAATTATTTAGATTACATTCGGATGGTGGAGTGACTATCGACTTTTCCTTCTCCTACTTTTCTTTAATGGTGCATTCCAAGTAAGAACTAAGCGGAATATTTATCGTATGTTTTGCTTTTATGAATTTCTTTAGTCGCTGTGTTGGGCAGCAGCAGGCAAAGGTCTCGGTGCTTGGGTAACCGATGCTCAACGTAATTCTGTTTTCGGTTTGTTTGGAACATGCCCTTTCGCTGGTGGTATTATTGGCACGGCTTTGGCTGTAAGCGTTTTGTGTTTATGATTATTATTTGACTCACATCGTGTATTTATTAGGTTTATATTCAAGGAAAGGATGGTTGGCGTCTCGTTCATTTCCAACCGTCAATCTTTTGTGTAAACACACTCTTTATTTATTCGTTGAAAATGAGTGTTTTCTATGCAGATTGTTGCTGGCTTTGCGGTTTTGTTCTCCTTTCGTGAACCATCAGAATTGAATATGATTGTGCCTGGGAAAGGTATTTACGTCTATTTTCACTGGTGATTACAGACAGTTGTCTTTTCATAGATACCGCTAGCAAAGGAACGGATCTCCGTACGAAAATGACTCCTATGGAATTATGTCGACTACCGTAAGCTGAATCGAGTGTATTATCAATTAAAATTCACCTCTTGTATTCACAGCATGGTCAAAGAAATTGCTGCTGGTGTTTTCTGTTTAAAAGTTGTTCGATATGCCATTTACCTGTGGCTCCCTTTATATTTAAAACAAGAAGTAAGTGAAATGGATATTACTTAAAGAAGCGATACATTCGATTGTGTGTTACAGTTAAATTATTCGAAGTCCGATGCTGGTTTGTTTTCAACTATGTTTGACATTGGTGGCGTTGCTGGAAGTGCAACGATTGGATTTGTTCTTAAACGGTAGTTTACTTGTCAGATCTATCGATGTATATACAATCTTTCTTTTTGAAGTTTTTTTAATAATGAAGGATGCGTTGGTGCCGGCGCGGAAACATTACTCAGTGCTGGTACTCTTCTTCTTTTCTTGGCGTTTGCTCAATCAGGCGTAACAATGAATTCAATTTTAATGTTATTAACTGGTGCATTAAATTGTGGTGCTGATATTATTCTTTGTAAATTATTTGAGAAAAGTCAAACTATCAACATTTCGCTCTGTTTTCAGGCAGTTCCGTTCCTATCGAAATCGGCGAAATGGATGGTCGTAATGCCGGCAGTGCAGTAATTGGTTTTGTCAACGGTATGTGTATTTTTAAAATTCATTCTCCACACGTCTCAGAAAATTCATTTCTTCTATACAAATCACATCATTCTCCTTCGCGCTCTCTCCCTCTTTCGTTATGTTTGACGCGCATACACACCGCTCGGAAAATGAGAAAATGGAAACGAAACACGATTGACATAAAACACGAGAAAAGAGAATTCTTTGGAATGACAAAAACAAATTGGAACACATGACAACAGCGGAATGAAATCAGAAAACGAGATTAGGATTTCTTAATTAAAAAAACAACAGGAGAACGAATCAAGAAAAGCGGAAAACGAACGACTAGAAGGACACATACATGCATGATCATTTCACTTGAGAATTATTGACTGAATGGAATGAAATTTGTTGTTTGAACGAAAATTTTTATACAATGATGAACTCGATTGATTCTATGCAGTATTTTCAAGCATTAACAATGTGAGTAAAACGGGCAACACATGTTCGTAGTGTTCAATTGGAGTACCTTGCAGTTTAATATGTGAATTCCGTCGTAAGTATTCGTAGAGTGTCAAAAACTCGACTAAACCAAGTGTTTCTTCGAGATATTTACGTAAAACATTCATTTTCGCTTGTCGAGACGATTTCGAATGTGCTGCTGAGTAAAGTGCAGTGAATGTATCATGTGAGGTTAATTTACGTTTATTATGATTATGATTATCATTATTGTTTGATGTTGTTGATGATGATATCGAAACGGATGTTGGTGTTTGAACAACCAATGATGGTAGATCATCGACAGTCCCAAGCGAACGTTGTTGATGATTTTGAAGTTGTTGTTGAAGTGGAAGCATCGATGTTAAATGTTGGTGATTGGAATGTGTACTATTGTTCTAGAGAAGTATGAAAAAAGGATTTTGTTTTTCTTTTTGACATTGTAGTAGAAGTTTTTCTCTTACCAAAACGGAAGATGGCATTGGTAAGAGAGCTGCTGGTGAGTTCGATTCTCGTTTAACTTTTTTCGCTAGATTGACAGCCGTATGATTACTATTATGTGATGATAAGTCGAGTAATTCGGAACAATTAGAATTGGATGTTGAACTTGTTGACCGTTTATGATTATTTGATAACGATTGGTGACCATTCGATGATGTTCCATTCGTCTTGGGTTTTTCATCTATAGGCATTGTTATTGGTGACGAAGAAGACGATGAATTATCTGAAGTTGTAACGGAAGCCATAGTTGAGGAAGTTGTTGGAACAAGTAATCCTTTGATTTTGCCCTTGCGTAAACTCATACATGAGAATTTACCGTTGACACCCGCTTTTTGCATAGCTTGTTGAAGTAATAAATCTAACCGATGGCGACCAGCACGAATTGTTTTGTACCAAACACGTTGATCAGCTGATGTACGTGGTACGAGATAAAAAGGTGCATCTGCATTCGAACATTGTGGTGGACGATGATAGGACAAAAGACGTAAACCAACAACTGGACATTCATGCGAATGTGACGGTATTGCATAAGCGCGGAGATTAGTTTGGAGATCATTTGCTATCGAATCTTTGTTTGTTGATATTTGTGGTGTTCGTTTGTATTCGATATATTCTAGTGAATTAGTCGAATCTACTTTGATTTCTAAATCACCCCATAACAATGACCGATTAATTGTTGATTCATAACCACGCTGATCGAAATATTTCGAATTGTTGATTAACAGTTCTAATAGGAGACCTTCGGGTGTATCACGTGTGATGATGTTCATTTTTCGTAGTAACGCCTCGTGTTGAGATGTAAATGCTTCGACTTTGGAATTGCACACATTTTTATTTGGTTTCGCCCATGTGTCGCGTTTTTCTTGAATCACTTCTCGGCACGGTGCAAAAACAGGTGATTCAAGTATATTACACGGATACTTTCGAGATTTTAAATAACGTTCAATTGACAACATGAAACTTCGTAATGTATCTGGTTCGTATTCAGTATTATCCGCTTTTCGAACGTTGCCAAAATAGTGTTTGAGATACGTGCATAGTTGTTCAGGTTTTAACTCATCGATAGGACAGGTTTCACCAAATGTGTCTTCTAAGTATAAGGCAAAACGTCGTACTTCGTGTTTGGTTTTACGGATTGTGTTGTATGAATTCGTTCCGGAACAGATTAAAAATCGATTTGAATCGATACGCTGGTTAGCTAAACGTGATAGACGTGCAGCGGCTGCTGCTGACGAGATTGGTTTTGTTAATGATAAATCATCCTTATTGATTTGAACTGACGAAGTTGCCATTGATGAGTGTGACATAGTTTCTTCCCCGCCACTTGAATTCGGCGATTCTTCATCTAGTTGTAATTCAGCTTCATTATCATCATCATCATCCTCGTCGTCATCGTCATCAAGTTCATTCGTTGATACAAACGTGGCAGCTGTTGGTATCGTTGGTGCTATCCCACCATTGGTGATTTCATCCGTATCAGCACCAAATAGTTTTATCATTTGATGAAAATCAGCAAGAGATGTAGCGGCTGTAGCCATATTTTATCGAG